ACCTATTTTAAATTTTAAATAAATACTATCATGTAGTATGTCTGAATTCTTTGGCTCAGCATTGTGTCTGTGAGATTAATTCATGTTGTTATATATATATCTATAATTTTCTTATTTTCATTGTTATGTTAGACCACCGTATAAATACACCAGCATCTTCATCCATTCTATTGACGGTGGACATTTAGTTTGTTACCAGTTTTGTGCTATCATGAATAGTTCTATTAAGACTCTGAGTGATGTGTCTTCCAAAGAATAGGTGCACATCTTTCTCTCAGATTTATATCTAAGAGTGGAGTTTCTGGGTCATATGTTACATGTATATTTATACATATCCAGTGTATACTTGGAAAACCATTATACATTTCCAACAGTAGTATATGAGAGATACCATTCCTCCATATTGATAACAAACACTTGGTTTTGATCATCCTTTTAATTTTAGCCTTGTAGGGGGAGCAATGCCATAGTATTTTATTGTTCTGATCATATTTCTCAGATGATTAAAGAGGTGAGCACTCCCCCCTTTATATGTTTACTGGTCATTAGATGTCTTTTTTGCTGAAGTGCTCTTCAGATCCCATGTGGCCGTCTGTCTTTATCTTACTGATTTGTAAGATATATTCTGTATCAGTCCCAGTTTTCTGAGAAGCAGAAGTTAAGATAGAGTAGATGTGCAAATTATTTATGAGGGAAAACACTGGTGAGGGAAGGTGGGAAGAGTCCCCAAGGATGATGCAGGTCTGACTTTCAGAAATGAGACAGAGAAAGAAGAAAGGAAGACTCATAGACTGCTGTGTAGTTCTAACAAAGTTTTTTCAGGACTCAGGGAGTTCTTGCGTTAAAAGAATGTGGTTCAAAAAATATAAAAAAATAATGGCCCAGAACTTTCAGAGAGTAAAATTTGCAGAAGGGAATTTTGAACAAAGTGTAGATTTTACGTGGTCCTTGAAGAGAATTGGGAAAATGTGCTGTTTAAAGAAATATAGCAGAATTGCTGGTCAGTGTTGATGGGCCTTTTGAAGTTGGTGGCATGAATTTATAGAGAACTAAATCTTCCCTATTTTCCAGAAGCTTTCAGGAAATAGGTTTGGAGAAAGCTCAGAATAGGATTCATTCAGCCAGGGGAACAGCTGTACACATGTGCTGAGCAGGCAAGAGTGTTGGAAATGTGAACAGTCACAAATTTTGTGGAGGAAAATTTGCTGCATACACCAATAAGTATTAAACATGTATATCCTTGACATTATTGATTAATATTAAAAATATAAAATGAACCCAGCAATTCCATATTTTTGATTTTATAATTATTCTGTTTGTTTTTGCCCCTGCTTTGTTTTGGAAGTGACTACTGTACCCGTTAGAATATGAAGTCCTTGCTGCCAGGGAGCGTGTCTGTCTTATTCACACTGATATTCTTGGCTTTTAGCAAAGTGTTTTCTTTTATTAGATAGGCATGAAAAAGTCCTTACTGAATGACTGAAAGGGTGGAAGTGCAATTCCAATCCAGTCACACTGACTCTAGTTTCCTTGGTCGTTCAGCCCACCACAGAGGAGAGGTGTGGATGAAGGACAGTGATGCTCTCCTCTCAGCTTCAGAGGAGTGAAAGGACTTGTGCCTAGAACACAGAAGATGTTCAATAAATGCTGCTAATTGTTGCTGTTGTTCAGTCAACAATTTCCCTAAAGGTGTTGACTCTCCAATATCTGTTCTGAAAACATCCTAACTCCCTTTCCCTCCGGACAACTTGTGAACCTTCTCCAGATCCTAGAAGGGCACTGGGCACTTCTGGGAGGCAGAATATAAGTCTCTTCCTTGTGAGACCAAAACTCTATTCAAAGGGACTAATTAAATGATGGCATCCCATTGCTCTAACCTGAGAATGAGGCAAAAGCTCGCTGCAGAACTTTTTCAGCAAGTGATCCTGTGAGCAGAGAATTAGTCTCTCTCAGAGACATAGCACTGATAATCTCTGTGTTATCACTCCTACCTTATAAACAACCCTTTTCAGCGGAAAGAGAAAGACTTTCTCTGAGACTCTGTTGGTGAGTCTTCTTAGCAGAGACCAAAGCTAACAAGCCAGCTACACCTTTTATGGGGCTTTTCTCCCTAATGTTTGCAGCAGCACTTTTTCTTTCTTTTCTTTTTTCTTTCTTTTTTTTGGCTTGTCACAGATAGAGAAAACAGATAGTGGAAGGTGGTCGTGATGTTGGAAAGGTCACAGGCTGGAGCGATGAGTGACCTGGGTACCTTCTGTGCCTCCGTCATGAGGCACCAGTGCGACTTTGGCCAAGCTGCATCTCACCTCCCTGAGTTTTAAATCCACCATCTTTAAAACCAAAACAATTGGAAAAGATGATTTTAAAGGCCGTAGTGTTCTTCAGCAAATGGATAATGGAGCAAATTCCCAGCTGCTTGTAAATGAATGACTTCCTTTTGAGTTCTCACCTCGTACTATTCTGAGAAACTTTCAGCTCTGATGCCTTCCTGCAATCAATACACCTGCTCAGTCTGAGAGTTTGCCTAAATGAGAAAAACAATTTTAATCCCATCCAGGAGTTTAATCACGTGAAACAGTGAACTTTGGGATGATATGTTTGGAGCTGGTCTAGATGACCCTTTAAGAACTCTCTCAGGTCCACTATTCCACGATGTTAGGATGTAAAAAATCAAAACCAAAATCAAAACCCCTGGTGACCTGTTTGTGTCCTCAGATCCAGTCAGTGTAAGTTTTCTATAATCTATTTAAAAAATTAAATAAAAGAAAAACGCAACTCAAATAAAAACGCCACGGGATAACTTTACTAAAGTTCTGTTTCCACAAAATAATTTTGTTTCTCATGGATAACTCAAACAAGAGACTTTCTTTTTTTTTTTTTACTAATTTTTAACAAATAATTTATTTTGTACTCCCACAAACTTGAATCACAGAGATGAACTAGCTTAACAGTTTTCTTTTGGGGCATACAAATTCATTATATGACTAAATTGTCTATTGTTCATATTGATTGCATTTACTCTTTTGTTCTGTTTTGGGGATCAGTTTTAGGGAATTTTTCATATCTGTAATAAAATTATATCCATTGCAATACCTGCATGCTCTTAGGTCCTTGGCGCCTTAAGCCACATGAAGAATTCATTGCTCCTGGCATTGATGACGGTGACTTCAGAGATTCTGTTTATTGAATGTTTATCACATCGGACCTCTGTGCAAATGCTTGACATGCACTGTTTTTGCTTACTGCACTTTGCAAACTCAGGGTGCAACAGTACTTATTTTCATTTTATAGCTAAGAACATTGAGGCTTGGAGAAGTTGTCCATGATCACATGGAAAATAAACGGCAGAGGAAGTATTCAAACCCGACTGAATTTAAGTGACAGTCTCGTATGATGAAGCCCACAGACTCTCATCGCAAGGCTGCCTGGGCGCGAGCCCCAGCTCCGGTGCTTGGCTGAGTAATCATGGGGGGTGACCTGAGGATTAAACTGAGCTGATCTACCGAAAGCAATTAGGACAGTGCTTGGCACAGGGTAAGTGCTACACAGCTGTTGGCTCCTATTACTGCCGTCTGTGCTCTTGGCCATAGTGTTCTTCTCTGAAAAGGTCCCCATCAGCCTCGTCACTCGCAGAAGCTGCATTTGCCTTCTTGCGACAAAGCTTGGAAAGAGAAAAAGGGTGCAGTTTCCTGATCAGTACAGGAATCTTCTCTCCAGCATTTCTTGTATCTTGGTGGCTGTTTCTTCCTTTGACACTCAGAGATTCTCCTTTAATTCTTATATCGGGCATCAGATTTTCAGCAAGTTGGGTGATTTAGCTACTTTAAGAAGGCCTATGTTTCCAGGAAAATAATAGATGGTTGGTGTAATAATAGATGAGTGACAGTTTTTTGTTTAATCAGAACTAATATAGGCATAGGCATTTCCTTAATATAGTTAGGAGAAGAAAGGGTAAGTAGGAATGTTCTGCCAGATGAGATTCTGATTTATAGATGGCTGAGACAGGCATCTGTTCTCCCTGCTCCTGTACCTTCCTTTGTGTCCTGAACAGGCAGATAACCATGTCAGAATTTTCGCTGATGATCACAAAACTTAAAAAAAAATCTTTTTACTTTGACTCATCCCTGTAGACTGCGGAAGGACTGGTAGCCATTAACTAGAAGGATTTCACCAAGTCCAGGGAAAGCATAGCCCTGAAGTCTGTATGATGTCTAAAGCAAAGGGGGAAGAGTAATTGAACTTCTTAGATGTGATACTGTCCACAGCACAGGCATGAAGTGGGAGTAAATGAACATGGAGAGAAATAGAGAAGTTGGGCAAGTCTCCAGCTGCAACCACATCAGTTTCTCCCAGTCTTACTTCAGTTTGCTTTGCACCCACCTATGTTACTTATTGGAAACACAACAGAAAGTGTAGCGAACTTCATTGCAAAGCCCAGGAAGAAAGATTTAACTCAAAAGGTAAGGACTATACGTGCAGAGATTTCAGGAGATCCTAAATATTCATGGAGGTCTCAAGTGCCACTGCATATGTATGGAGCCCTGCTGAAAATTGTCAGATATGCACTCCAGCTGACAGAAAATCAGTGTCTGCCAAAAGCTCAATTTCAGTAGAAACAAAACAAATTAAAGTTTAGATAATTAAATAATTACTTTCACATAATGAGTTAGATATCTAGTGCCCAGTGATATTAAAGTGAACAGACATGCTCACATTTTCTGGTTACCAGGATGAATTGGTACAAGAATTTTGGAACAGAAAGGATTAAGAGGGAAGAAGGGAAGTCACTGTGGCTAAAAGAAATCTTGTAATACTTTCCCCCTATGATGAGTTCTGCTATAATCATGTTTCTCCCTTGACTTTATAGGCAATACTGTACTGCATCCTCAGTGTCCTTGGACTTTATGGAAATACTACATAATGTCACAGAATTTTTCATCACTCTCACAGAACCCGGAAGTACAGAGAATTCTCTTTGTGATCTTTTTGGTCATCCATGTGGTCACAGTTTGTGGCCACATTCTCATTGTGGCCACCATCACCTCCAGTCCTGCCCTGGCTTCCCCCATGTATTTTTTCCTGGCCAATCTGTCCTTTATTGGCACCTGTTATTCTTCCTCTATGGCCCCTAGACTCATTGCTGACTCCTTGTATGAGGGGAGAGCCATCTCTTATGATGGCTGCATGGCTCAGCACTTTGGAGCCCATTTTTTTGGAGGTGTTGGGATCATTTTGCTCACAGTGATGGCCTATGACCGCTATGTGGCCATCTGCAAGCCCCTGCACTACACGACCATCATGACCAGGCACCTCTGTGCTATGCTGGTGGGGATGGCTTGGCTTGGGGGCTTCTTTCATTCATTGATTCAGCTCTTGCTAGTCCTTCAGTTACCCTTTTGTGGACCTAATGTGATCAATCACTTTGTCTGTGATTTGTACCCTTTGCTGGAGCTTGCCTGCACCAACACATATGTCATTGGTCTGCTGGTGGTGGCCAACAGTGGTGTGATCTGCCTGTTGAACTTCCTCATGCTGGCTGCCTCCTACATCGTCATCCTTCGCTCCTTGAGATCTCACAGTGCAGACGGGAGGTGCAAAGCCCTCTCCACCTGCGGGGCCCACTTCACTGTTGTTGCCTTGTTCTTTGTGCCCTGTGTATTTACGTACATGCGTCCATCATCTACTTTATCTATAGACAAAAACATGGCAGTATTTTATGGTATCCTAACACCCATGTTGAATCCACTCATTTACACCCTGAGAAATGAAGAGGTAAAAAATGCCATGAGAAGGTTCTTCACATAGTAAGAAACTGCAGGTGGATAAGGAGTGGTAAAGCAGGAAATAAAAATGACTATTTCTGAAAGAGAAGCAAACTAAAACTTGTTTTTTATTACCATATACCATCCTAATCCATCATATCCATTTGTTCGTCTTCATAAACTTTATAGTGTTCTTAGTCTTTCATTTGAACTGCATGATTTGATTATAAAACAACTGTGTGAAATGTACATGGCATGAATGATTATTATTCCTGTTTCAGAAATAAGGAAACAGTGTCTCCTGATGTAGTTAATTGATCAATGTTATCTAGCTTTGAAATGCCTAAGCCAAAACTTAAAGTCAGTTATTTTTGATCCATCATCCTGATATTTAAATAGAAATTTATGTTAACATTATTTGAGTCTGTGTGATAGTTGACTGAGCTGTAGAAATGAGAGACAAAACACAACTTAAGGCAAACAACTTCACACTTAGCCACACACAGCAGTCTGTGTGCACACAGGCTTGGCTCCTATTCCTTCTCATCACCTTTACGACATCAGCAGTACAGGCGTACACTATAGCACACGGCGAGATCTTGGTTCTGGAGACAGATCAACCTGCGTTTGAGTCTTATATCCCACGCTTCCTCATGGCATGACCTTGGCTGAGTGACCAAACTTCTACAAGCCTCAATGCTTGTCTTTAAAATAAAGGTAATGATAATACATGTCTAAAGTATATTTTATCCTGAGAATTAAATTAGATAACCCATGTAAAGTTCTTCTTTTTTTTAAATGTAAATTAATTTATTTACTTTTTCTTAACATTATGCTTTCTAGGGTTTTGTTTAAGAAATCCTCTCCTATCCCAGAATTAGGGAGATATTGACCTATTATTTCTTATAAAGAATTAAAGTTCTTCTTTTAGTATTTGAATTCTTAATCCATTTGGAGTTGATTTTTCTGTATGGTATGAAGTAGAAATTCATTTCATGTAAAGTTCTTAATCCAATTTATGGCATATATTACCCATTCCCCCCAAATTTTATCTGATGTTATTATTCTACTTCAGTCCTTTTGTAACCTTTTCTAAAGACGCTGCTGTCTTTTGTTTTCTATCTCTACTATGTTTGAAATATATGCTTCACTTAGAACAGAATGGCTTATATTTTAGCCAGTGAAGCAAAATGGCATTTCCTTTCATTTCTCCTAACTCACTCTGTTTCAAACTCTGAGTGATTCTAGTGTTCTGGAATCTGAGACATACAACCATGTTCATTCCATTACTTTCCTGACTTTACACACTGTGACCACATCCCATCCCAGGCTTCACCCTTTAACAGTGCAGGCTCCCATAATGTATTATAAACTTATTCTTTGTTTGACAAATAATCTGTAATTCACCATGTTGCAAATATCTACTTTTTGCACTAAGAAAAAACAAACTAGAAATTGGTATGAAGAGCAATTTTTCTACTCTAAGTATTCAAAATTAGCCTCCAACAACTGATAAGTTCAGGAGATCATCAGGAAATACTGTTTTAGCCCCAAACTTCTATGCCTAACAAAAAACGACTAGCTGGTTCTTTGCAGAACTCATGCAGAGTTATTAGGCAAAATAAATATTGTCTTCTTTCACTTTGTCACATTTTGATAGTTTATTTTATAATAGCTTTGTATAACAGATCTAATATTCTGTATCTATTCATTTCTGATGTTAGATAATAAAAATATAATTGAGCCAATTTTTCAATTAGCTAAGAAATATGAAATCATGGTGAGGCTTACTATAAATAGCCTATTTTTGCCAGCTTGCCACAATTTTATCTCAAGAGGCTTTCTAGAAAAGCATACTTACTTTAGTTAGAAATTTGAAAGGGGGGAGGGTATAGCTCAGTGGTAAAGTGCATGCTTAGTATGTACAAGGTCCTGGGTTCAATCCCCAGTACCTCCATTTAAAAAAGAATAAATAAATCTAATTACCCCCCCCGACCAATTTGAACACACTTTTATTTTTAGTACAGTTAAAATATCAAACAGCATAAAGATTGGCTCCAAGTGCACTCTTGTGTTTTGTAGTTCAAATCATGATTAACAATGGCCCAACAACTTATGAATGCTGCTTATTTTTGAAAAACTGCAACCTGCTAGAATAAATACATGAGTAAATATCACCAGAAGTTTTCTAGATGATTTAAAAATTATACTAATCTTGTTTACAAAGGAAGTGGTGTCTCCATTTTGGAGGCTCTGTAAGACATCTTTCCTCCCAAACACAAATCTATTTTAAAATTTAGAAAATAAGAAATAAAGATTGGCAACACATGCATGCATGTGTATAAATCCTCTTATAAGCCCATTACCTAGAGATAATCACCATCAACAGTTTGATAGACACCCTTCTAGTCATCATCCTCTTTTTCTCCTCCTTCACTTCCTCCTTCAAACTCTTCC